AAGAATGGCGCTTCCGGGCCTCCTGCCTCTCAGACCGTCTCTTCAGCACAGCCCTCCCCCTCCCCCTGTCCCTTTCCCGAGGACCCTTCTGGGAGATCCCCTCAAAAGGGCCCCCTCTTCCGAAGGGCTGAGGAATATGGAACAAGAAGCTGCAGCACAGGGAGGACCAAGAGCAAGGGCTTTGGGGTCAGCCGGTCCTGGGTTTGAATCCTGCCTACACTACTTTCTAGCTGTGCAGCCTCGGGCAGGTCATTAGTTCACTTTGCGTTTCACTTTCGTGTAAAGTCAGAGCAGGGGTGGTTTTTCATCCAGTGTGTGGTTGTGATTAGGATGTAAACATCTGGGAAAGGCTACAGCACTTCCCATCTGTAAGGGGATTCTAGAGGAGGGTGTTACGTGCTGGGACGCAAACCACCTCCAGAGCCCATACTGGAAGTTCAAGTCAAGCTGCAGTTGTAAAAAGCCCCAATCACAGTTTTGTCTTCTTTACCCTAAGGCATCCTCCCCGAACATGACCCTCTTTTCTAACTTCTGATGGTTCGGGAAGGGGCAGAAATGGGAAGATCCGAAGAGAGGAGGCCCCGCTGTAGGGAGCGGGCAGGCTCCTTTGGTGTTCCTGCCGCCACTGCCCTTTCCCTGGTTCTGGGCACTGGCCTCCTTGTGTTCTAGGGTGGTGCTGGGCCTGGGAGACCGTTGGGCGAGACGTGCTCTCGTGGGCTGCCAGCATTCTGCCTCGTGGGCCCCCACGTGGGGGTGCAGAGTCTGTGTCGGGTAGAGGGAAGGGGAACCCCTGGAAAGGTAGGAGGAGTGGCTTGAGATTGGAGAACCCGTGTGGGGAAAATGGAAGCAAGGAAGGGAAAGGAAACTGCACTTGGTTATTAAAATAACCTGAGAGGGGCGCCTGGGTGGCGCAGTCGGTTAGGCGTCCGACTTCAGCCAGGTCACGATCTCGCGGTCCGTGAGTTCGAGCCCCGCGTCGGGCTCTGGGCTGATGGCTCAGAGTCTGGAGCCTGCTTCCAATTCTGTCTCCCTCTCTCTCTGCCCCTCCCCCGTTCATGCTCTGTCTCTCTCTGTCCCAAAAATAAATAAACGTTGAAAAAAAAAAATTTAAAATAACCTGAGAGAATAGAAAGAAGGGTGGCCCTTTGAGGCATGAGAGGTCAGCCCTTTGGGGCACGGGAGGTCAGGAGGGATGGGAAAGTGGAATTCATTGCATGCGCTGTCCTTGGTGCTCCTTTGTCCCTTTGTCCCATGAAAATGCAAATGGTACTTGGTTTTGAGTTTTCCTTTAGTTAATCCAACTGGGTGCCACCATGGGACAGTGGGCCACAGGGGTGGTGGCGAGTCTGACTTCCTTCTGAACGCGAGTTTCCAGATCTGGACAGTAAGACTTGAACTCACGGAGGTTTGGACGTGGGAGGTGGTAAGCTTCGCCCTCTCCCCTTTCAGGCGCAGTCCCAGGGATCCATTACCCTGAAAATCATCCCAGCCACCCAGGAGGAGGGCCGGTTAAAGGACAGCAAGGTATGGCGGGGTTGGAAGTGGGGGAGGGCTTTGAAGCAGTCATTCCGGAAGAGATCACGTGTCTGGTCCTTGGACCGCACGCTCAGTGGAGAACTGTGATTCAGTCACAGTGTGATTCATGTATTTGTACCTGTCTCTTTCTAAACAGGATTTGACGTAGCTTACTAATAAAAGACAAGGTTATTTTAATTGAAGTAGAAAATCAGGGCCATGAAGAGGAGAAGGTACCAAATGTGCTGGATTCGGGACCAATTAAGTAACTGCCATTTGTTTAATTCTTCGGTGAGGCACCCTTTTTTGGGCACCTCCTCTGTGCCGGGCGCTCTGCCAGGTGCTGGAGACACGGACAGTTAGTAGCTCTGAGGATTCCTAGTTCAGAAGGGGCGGGGGGGGGGGGCAGGGGACCAAGTGTTTCACTGCTGGACGATTGGTGCTTCAGAAGGATCCCGAGCAGAGTTACAGGTGCCATGGAAGGTGTCATGTAGCAAGGGTGTTAGAAGTGGGGCTGGAGGAAGGTGAGGACTGGTAGGACTTCCCTGGTGAAGATGAGGAGGAGGGAGGTTCAGGCAGAGGGGTCTGCATTAGACGGAGGCTCAAGGGTGTGGAGAGGAGGAAGTTACCACTGTGGGTGTAATCCTGCTGGGACAAACTCAGGGCTGCCCTACAGACACACGCCCTCCGTCTTCCCACCCAAGAGCCAGGGCAGCTGGGAGATCTGGGCACCAGGGCACCAGGGCAGCTGGGAGATCAGGGCACCAACTCGCACCAGGCTGCACCCGGGAATTAATTCCCAGCAATCCCTGCTGGCTGGATTAGAGTAGAGCAGTGGCCAGAGAAAGCCCTTGGACAAAGAGATGCCGGGGCTGGCTGCTGGAAGTCTGCCTGGCGCGCACTGGAATGGTAAGGCCCCGGGGGATGCGGGAGCTCCCAGGCAGCTCCGTGGGGGAGGCTAGAGTGGGTAGAGACTGGGGGCAAGGAGACCTGGTGGGGAGGCTGTTGTAAAAGCCTCGGTGGGAGATTATCATGACCCGAGCTGAGGTGGTGGGTAGAGCGGAAAAGAGGGCGTGGCTCTGATTTCAAATAAATTTGGATCTGGTCTTCCTGGCAGCCAAGGCAGAAAGGAGATGAAATGCACAACATACTTTTCATTAGTAGGTGGAAGGAAGCGTGCCAATTTTTCAAGAAAGGTGATTCCCAGCTCCTGCCTCCCAGCACTAAGTACATGAAAGAAGGGACATTACAACACTTGGCACAGAGTAGCTGTCAATAAACATTTTGGTGAATGGGGATCAGTAATGGACAACGTCTTTGATGTCCGTGTTTCACAGCAAATGAACACATAGTCTTTCCGCGACTGTTTCTTATTTGCACACTTTGATTAAATCCCAGGGCTTACCTAATGTAGACTCTTATCTGATGGAAGGTGGTTCTTTCTTGGACATGCTGATGTGATCTCCGTAAGCAGCTTTTGCAGGTTCTAACTCGATACAGGGAGAAAACTTGGTTTTCCTGGAGGATAAAATGGGTAGCCTGTGCCTTAGCCCATCCTTCCTAAATATTCTTGATCCAGAAGCTTGATCTGGGCTGGGCATTTAAGATTATACTCTCTTACGGGTACCTGGGACCTTGGTGACATCTGTGGCTGGTTGAGGGTGTCTGTCCTTGCAATATCTGGCCAGAAAGTTCTTACTGTTGTCTAACTGGATCTTTTCTGACTGGTGCATAAAGGAATATGACTTGGATCTGTTTAAGGAAGCCCCCTGGCTTTTTTTTTTTTTTTTTTCTCCTGTTTGCTGTTAATGTAATTGGGCCTCAATGGTCTGGAAATAGAAATAAAAAAGATCTATCCACTAAGTTATAGAACAGGGAAGTGTGACAAAATGCTATTGTTTTCCCATCATCTTCTCTAGAGGGTGACTTCAGGGTAAAGGGGAGAGTTGGGGGTTGGCCAAGTATGTGACAGAGGAGGCAGGACTGAGCTGTAAAAAATGTGGATGTCAATTACCCACTGAAAGGGGATGGTGAGGAGTCAGTAACAGTAGTTTTGTTAGTATTTGGGTTCTTACCAAAATATCTAGATTACTTATTTAGCAGATGGCTGCTGACTTCATCAGGGGCAGTTAGCATATCAAAAATAACATTTTAGTTAAAATCGTGCTTGCCTTTACTTTTTTGTTCCCAGGACTAATTGCCGCTTTGTCTACGCTAAGAGGTTGTTATAAGGACAGCAGATCCAGTAAATAAGGAAATACTTAGTTTTGGAACGAGAAATTCAGATATAGAGCCCATCTATTAATTTTCTGAACCTTGATGGGTTTCCTGACTATAATATTCAAAATGGCTGAAGAACGATAGGAAAATACGTGCAGCGTGTTTCCGAGTAGCTTTCTGCTCTCGAGGCTCCTTGCTTGTCCTGACCGTGGGCGCTAGTTGTCATTCGGCCCTCGATGCAGCATAGACCTGTCTGTGATCACGCCCTCTTCAGGTGTTCATGCGGGCTCTTTTCCACTACAACCCTCGGGAGGACCGGGCCATTCCCTGCCAGGAGGCAGGCCTGCCTTTCCAGCGCAGGCAGGTCCTGGAGGTGGTGAGCCAGGATGATCCCACGTGGTGGCAGGCCAAGCGAGTAGGGGACACCAACCTCCGGGCCGGTCTCATCCCCTCCAAGCAGTTCCAGGAAAGGTGGGTCTGGGGTATGTTGTAAGGGGGGGCGCTCTGGAGTGGCTAGAGGCACAGGTAGCTGGCAGAGCCCCAAATCTCTGCCACCATGGCCGGAGGGGCGCACTGTGTGTTGCTCCTGAGGTAAGTACTGATGGTTTGTGTGTTTTGTCTTCTGTGCCCTAACCGGTGGTGATGGCTGTTGGAGATTTAAACAAACATATGGAAATCTATGTTCCTAAATTAACGTATATTTTATAACACACACCTAAAGAAAGTTGAAAAATAAGACATAAACATACAGAAGGGAAGGGCGAGGAAAAGAAAATTGCCCAAAGTCTTGCCCCTATTGAGACAGCATCATTTATTTCCTTCCTGTGCTTTTTATGTAAGTGGTGCACGTAGCATTGGAAGTCTTACTTTTCTTTTAATGTTTATTTATTTTGAGAGAGAACGAGAGGGAGAGGGGCAGAGAGAGAGGGAGAGAAAGAGAATCCTAGGCAGGCTCCACACTGCAGTGCAGAGTCCGACACGGCGCTCGATCTCACGAACCTCGAGATGATGATCTGAGCCGAAATCAAAGAGTCGGACGCTTAACAGACCAATCCACCCAGGCGCCCTGGAAGTCCTGCTTTTTGTGTGTATATAACTCAATATTTTGACGTCAGCATTCCCCACATTATTGCCTCTTCTTTACTGTGTGATTTTAATGGCTGTATAATATCGCATCAGAAAACAGACCGTTCACTCATGGGCAGCAAGTACGGTTTCTGCCCCCGAGGAGCTGACAGTTTAGCAGGCAAGTCACGCAGGGTTCAGACGAACACTTTATATAAATGTGGCGGGTGCTGGGGAGGAGGACCCGTGCTCTGCAAGGTCACATCGTAGGAGGGTCGCCCCTCACTGGGGCGTGCAGGGAGGTGTCTCTGGGGAAGGATCATACCTGGGTGACTTCACTGCCTCCCTGGGGCTGTACTTTTCAGGTGTCTGCACTGTTTCAGTGCTACGAGACTGCAGGAATCACCCTGCACGTTAGACTCTTCCTCATGCTTCAAATTATTTCCTTAGGATAGATTTCCAAAAGTGTAAATGGTGCCTCAGAGGGTGTGGCAGTAATGACCGTGTCACCTCTTCTGAGGCCTGTAGCCCACCTCCATCTTTTGGGGTTGTGGAATGCTCTAGGGACAGACTTCAGGCTTCAGCTGTTTCGGTGCCCCTGCGTGTGGTCTCCGGCCAGGCGCATTAGCATCCCCTGGGAACCATCCTCTGGGAGCGTGTTAGAAATGCAGACCCCTGGGCCCTGCGCCAGACCTGCTGCATCAGGAGCTCTAGGGGCAGACTCGAGCTCTGTGTCCCAACAGACATTCCAGGTGATTCTGAGGTGGCGAAGTTTGCGAACCTTTGCCCTATTCCCTCAGGGGAACCTCAGACCCATATGCGTCTTTGGTTTCACAGGTCTTGGGGGAGCAGTCTTCAGCTGCATTTAAATATGGAACTCAAGACACCTCTAAGAGCCCTGAGTGTTTTCTCAGATCAGAGATGAGGCCTTGGTGACGGTCTCTCCACTGATGGCCAAACTGGGCAACGTGCCTGGCTGAGCTCTCTGATTTGGGGGGAAAAGGCTGTTAAATTAGAGTCACTTTTGCCCTTGACCTCTCCTGGGAGTTGTTCTGCTGCTTCCTAGCTTTCTTGGAGATGGGGAGGCCAGCGGAGAGTGAGGAAAAGACCTCCTTTCCTTGAGAATCAGTCATAGGAAAGTACCGACTGATCGCTTGACCGTCCTGGGCCGGACTGTCTTGCTTCTCCCAGAGCAAAAGACTTGGTTTCTTCCTCCTCGTGAACCACTGAGCTCCCGTGAAAGTGTCTCTCTTTATGGAAACTGACTGTGAAGGTGGGAGGCCCTTGGAGTGCCAGGCTGTTCCTACCTGTGCAATCCAGGCCTTAGTTTCCCTGAGTTTTACAGAAGTTTTACAGTCCCTCTGACTGCTTTTGTGGCCCAGCTCATGGGCCTGCCCATCTCCTTGTGTTCTCATAGGCGACTAAGCTACCGGAGAGCCACAGGCACCCTGCCGAGCCCACAGAGCCTCAGGAAGCCCCCCTGTGAGTAGATGGGCAGGGAAGCACTTCAGGGAGGGGCCGGGGTTGGGACTCAGGGGGTTTGTGCCCCGAAGAAGCAAGCACTGGACTGGAGAGGGCACGATGGGTCTTGTCTGAGCTCACAGGCCTCCAGAGGAAGGAGGGGATGGGGAGAGGGATGCGGAGGGGCAATGGGGTAGGTCAGGGGGGCTAGTCCCTGGAGAGAAGCTACTATATTTGGGGCCCATAGATGATACTGGGGGACATGTTAAACATCTCTCCCAAAATTGTGTGCAAATTGTGTGTGTCTGTGTTTGTGTGTTTGTGTTGTCTGGGAGAGTGTCCACGGCCTTCATTAGATTCCCAAGGGGCTCTCCGACCCTGACAATTCAAGAGCCACTGATGGTGGAGGAGTGGAGAAGGCTGTGGGTGACCCAAATTTGGCAAGTAAAAATAAAGGATGACTAGTTAAATTTGAATTTCAGATAAACAATGAATGAGTTTTTAATATAAGTGTAACCCATGCAATATTTGGGATATACTTATGCTAAGAAATTGTTGTTTATCTGAAGTTCAGGTTTAACTGAGTGTCCTATATTTTTATCTGGCAGCTTACTCTGTGTAGCACCTGCCTTCTCGAAAACATAGTCACCTTGCCTTTTAATCATCACAGTGTGAGGTAGGGGAGTCAGGACATCCTCTTTTCCAACATGGGAGAATGGCATGGGGGCTGGTGTCAGGTTTTCAGAGGGCCCGTGGCCAGAGTGTCCAGGTTAGAGCCGCGTATAGAGAGGAAGCTTCCCCGTGGTATGGCCTTTCGGATTCAGGGGGGCTCGGAACCAAGCAAGGGGGCCAAAGGGGTGTCAGGTGACCAGGGGACAGCTGGCCCGCAGCCCTGCTCAGTGCCACTCCATCCTCTGGCACCTGCCTTTGCCCAGGCAGGTCTCAAGCCCCGGAAAAGAGAGAGCAGGTTCCAGCCCGCTGCCGGCAGGCATCCTGGAGTGAGCCGCTCTGCTGGCTCCGGGCCACCGCCCACGGCCACTCGTCCAGACTTGCTCTCAAGTCAGAAGGACTGCTGAGTAAATTGGCCTTGAGGCTGCTAACGCCGGTGATGAGCTGGCTTGCTTGGGGCCGCTAATGAGACACACACAGGAAGACTAATTAGAGCTAGTCTCAGTTTAATAGTGCACTGCAGCTCGGATCACAGGTTTGTCGGAGGAAAGAAAGAGGGGACAGATGGAGGGCTCCTTCCGCACACGAGGCCACGGCTGCCTGTCAGCCTCAGGGCCTCCTGGTTCCCCTCCGCTAACGCTCTTCCATCTGTCTTTTGTGCAAACCGCAGATGATCAGCCTTGTGACAAAGGTAGGCTGGTATCTATCCCCTGTGCACCCGGATGAGACTCCTTTTTTTGTAGAAATGTCTGGAAGGGCTTGTTGCCTTCTCCCTGTGCCCTGAGGTGTGAAGAGCTGCTGGGGACAGAGCTCCTCCCTGCCCGCCTAGCACACGGGCCCCCGCCGGCTGGGCTGGGCTGCCGGTGCTGGTGGGAGGCAGGAGACTGCAGGGGGTGGACAGGGCGAGTGAATGTCCCCTCCTGATGCATACTGATCCTAGCCCAGAGGGGCTTGCTGGCCCAGAAACCCCTGCCAGGGCCTGGAAAGGTTGTTTGGGGCCTCAGCATGGAGCATTGAGTGAAATAGAAGAACTTGTTTTCCTGGGGGGCCAGGATATGGCGTCTCTTCCTGACCCTCCTGAGACACCATCCCAGTGGGTTCCGCCTGGCCCCCAGGGGCCGGGAACCTTTGGGTCAGAGGATGTGTCCAGCATGGCTCACTGGCCGCCCTTTCTCTGTTTGGTTCCCAGAGACGTCTGACTGTGAGGGGTACCTCAAAGGGCACTATGTGGGTAAGTAGTGGGGACGCTGCCCTGCCCGTGCACAGCTGGCCGTGGGCTCCCAAACCAGGCAGGGTGATCTCATCCCCAGGAATCCTTGAGGAACAGCTGAGCCTGGGGGGCTCACATTTCCCTTCAGTTTCTTGTCAGCCAGAAGAGGGGCTGACCTGCCCGGGCTTTGGGGTGCAGACACTGGGAGCAGAGCCCTGGGAGGGAAGGGATGCAGGCCGGTGGGACTCAGCCCCCCTTCCAAGGTCCGGCCAGGGGGAGAAAGTCTTTACCGGGAGATCCTGGGACTAATGCCGCGGTTCCCCTTGCCCTTCCCCCAAAGCTGGTCTTCGGAGAAGCTTCCGGCTGGGCCGAAGGGAGAGACTGGGAAGCCCCCAGGAGGGAAAGGTGTCCGCAGTAGCCGAGTCTCCAGAGCTGCTGACCTATGAGGAGGTGACCAGGTACCAGCACCAGCCTGGTGAGCGGCCCCGCCTGGTGGTTCTGATTGGTAGGTGATGTCCTGCATTTCCGGGGACAAATGCAGGATTTCCTCCCTGGTTTCCTCCCGGAAGGGTGGGGAGGTTGCTCAGCAGGGACCCTGGTCACCTTCCCTTTGTTTCCCAGGATCTCTGGGAGCCCGACTGCATGAGCTGAAGCAGAAGGTGGTGGCAGAGAACCCACAGCACTTTGGTGTTGCTGTTCCACGTAAGAGAAGAGGGCCCACATGGCGGGG